TCATCGATTAACAAACCAGGTGACGTTCGTAGCAGGAGACACTGCGTCATACAAATGGGCCTTGGAAGCTAAACGTCTGGCGTTCATGGCAACCACGCCTCCGGAACTGACCATCAGAGCCCACCTGAAGACATCATTCTGTAGGCTGTACTCGTCTACAGACTGAACTTTCTCATCGCTGACATGTTTCAGGGCCTGGGCGTAAACCTTATATGGGGATTAAGTGAAATTATTTTGATTCATTTTACAGTAATAAATTTAGTAAACACAATTTTGAATGCAGAGTTTATTGGAAGGACTAAATAAACTAGTTGTTGGCAATGAAAGGGCTGATCTATTGACCGGTTCTGCCTTCGTTGCAAATGGCTGGCTTATGGATCGCGCCAACATTGTTAATGCCCCTGGAGAGAGGACGATCAGGGGATTTTAGAAGCAGATTGTTCCACCTCTACCAAGAATGCCAGAATTGGGAGTAAAAACAGGCGCAACCAGACATGAGAGGTACACTCGAGGTACAAAGAGTCTTGTTAACCAACAAAGGACTGGTACTATTAGGTTCGGGTCACTTATATATATATATATATATATATATATATATATATATATATATATATATATATATATATATATATATACATATATATACATATAGATGTTAAAAGGGAATCTTGGAAGAAGAAGAAGAAGAAGAAGAAGAAGAAGAAGATAAGATGTTATTGGTGGTGATGATGAAAAAAGAAAACAGCTAAGAGGATGAGGACAAAATATTAATTTAAAAAAAAATCACTGTTTTATAATGAAAGGCATAAGAATATCTGAGGATGACCTCAGAGTGAAGGGGGCCTAAGAGAAATATTGACTTTACTAGCTGAGATATTAGTTTTATATGTTGTATAATAATATATATCAGTACTGTGGGTAGTATGATGAATAGCACAGTTTATTCAAATATTTAGCCTAAATACAGGGGAACTCTTTTTTAGGGCCTGTTCATGGGGCATATTTAAATTAACTTCTGTCAATGTGCATAGACTATGTTCACCTTATAAGACTAGAGTAAATCTTTTGAGATTCCAGTTTTGAGAAGAAAGGTGGAATAGTCTAATTGGGGAGGTTTTATCTTGTGGTGGGCGTATAAATATGCTTCTTAACACACATATAAATATGACACAATTACTCATTTAATGTAAATCCTAAGAGACAATGAATGGGGACTGTTGCGATTGTGTTAATTTCTTACAATCATGAAGATGGACCCCACTACCTGGCTGTGATATTGCCAGTCCCCACTCTGCAAGAATAAGTGAGGTGTCCATTTCAAGAGAAAGACAGAGACTAGATAATGAACCCCCTGGCTGATTGATTGTATTAATGCCAGTCTTCACTCTGCCATAAGCTATTGTGCTGTTAAGGAGACTTCAGGCTGTCTAATCCAAGAGAAAAGCAGTAACTGGATCCTGAAAACATGGGCGGTTGTCTAATGACAGTCTACAAACTGATCTCGCATTGAGTGTACCAGTCAACTACAAGTGATTTGAAAGAGAGGGACAGAACCTAAACCAATTGGCTGATTGCTTCAATGCTAGTACCTTTTCTGGCTGCTACTGTATGCGTAAATACTCCAGTCTGATTCAAGAGAGGAGCAGAACTCAGAACTTACTGAGTGTCCTAATTAAAGTAAAGCGCATGTTCCCGATGCTGAATTGTATAAGGGGAAATCAATAAGTCACAAATGGTTATTTCACGCTGCATAGAACTGCGTGCACTGTTTTCTAAACCAGATTTTCATGGTAGAATTTCAGTGGACGAGAAAGGTGGAAATCGCTAAGGATAAACATTGTCAGCATAAACAACATTTCCTGATGAATGTTCTTTGCAGGCAGCCCTTTTGCTCCCCTCCCCCCCCCCCCCATTTAAAAAACGCACAACAACATGTTGATCTTTGAGGGTACAACCGTAAGTACAGTCGCCATTTTGTTTCTGTGTTGCGAATGCGCATGCAACACCTAGCGCCACCTAACGAACAGAGACATGAAGTTCGATGTTGCTATCACCAAATGAAACCTTTAGAAACCACCAACTACATTCTCCTGCCATCTAATAACCATTTGTGACATACTTATTGACCTTCCCTCGTATCACTAATCCATTGAGACACTATCAAGAGATTCATTTAGAGGCCTATAAGCGGAACATTCAGGATCTTCAACTGGGGAAAGCCCTGATATTTGTCAGATTAAAAATAGAGGTTTTTTTGGGTTATAATTATAGGAAGAATGTTGTCATGCTCTTGGTCTAATGTGTTCCGTGTCCCGCAGGCTTGTGAACCAGTGCCCTGACCTGTATTAGATTGTTAGCGCTGGTTATGGTTCATCATTAATATAAGTTGCTTTAGTTTGATCGATAAATGTTGAAATGTCATCCTAATTCTTATTATTTTACCTTTAAGTATGTATTTTGGTCCTAAATGAAGGATGTTTCATCTTTACTGTGAAATAAAGTTAGGAGCTATATAAATTGTGGGTTGATCTTTAGCTATTTCCCAAGAAGTCCAGATTCTCTTTTTAAATGGATCCCACCTACTAATTAGTTCTCACAACAGGAATTGTTGTCTGATTACGTAATATTATTCTGGGACAAAACCCTTAAATAAATTTATATTCAAGCCACTTCTGCATTTTTTTTTTGCGGGGGGAGGGGGGGGGGAGCATTCCTGAGGTCAGAAGTGATGGCTTCTTAATAAGTCTATCCTTCTCCTATAAAGACCGTTTGTCTTTTAAAACATAATCTCAGAAGTGTAGAAGAAGGAACTAATGTAGTAATATTACCTCGTTGGTGAAGAAACTAACGCGGACATTATCAGCTTCCGTGAAGAACTGCCCAGCAAGCTCATCCTGCTCAATGTTCAGCCTCACACTAGATCCCAGGTACACGGCATCCTCCAGGTCGCGAGGACTGCCATCGGTAGATACACCAAGAGCGTCAGTACGGAGAATCTGTGAAGAATGAAGGGTTCAGAAACTGTGAAGTTGAAAAATAAAAAGAGGATTCATTGCAATGGGTTTTATCCCGTATGGTCCAGCTTGTCTTTGCCAACGGCTATCTGCCTGCCCGGAATGTCGCACAAAGATTGAACGCCGTAACTTCGACGAGAATTCCTAGAGGATCTCCCTAAAAACCGCATGCGTAACGCGAACAATGCAGTATGTGAAACGAATCCACGAACTTCAAAGGATGAAGCAAACAGCTTCACTACTTAAGCCAAAGAGACACCTCTCCCCCTTTTGCACACATACTGTGATTAGCGATTACTGATAATTATAATTACAACATACCGGACAGATCCGTAAGTGCTCCAGTCTCCTCATCCAAATCTCCACAAGCATGAAACGACTGTGTTAATCAAAAGTCTTGTCCCGTTGATAAAATAAAATATTCTGCTTGCAGCTCAAGGTTTCATCCCCAAGTCCATCAGCCGGTACAGGGATGCGGAGTCATGCTCGATAACGTATTCGACTTCGCCTAAGTGCTGCACGCTTGCATTGATAACATCGCTTCTGTCCAGTGCGCTATGCAGACACTGCAACTTCAGTGTCTGCAAGACGATCTGGATGCTCGTTGCCTTGATCACCCCCATTCCTGGGCACAAAGTTAAAGGTGGGCCACCATTTGCGAAGTGCTCAGTATTACAGTCCATTCTTCTCTGATTAACTCAGACTGGGTTTGTTTTTACAACATACCGACTGTGTTATATTCATTAAACATGTATATATATATATATAGATATATATAAATGTGTTTGTGTGTGTGTAGTAAAAAAAAAGGTAATGTAGAAATCCCTTTTCACGCCTTTAGGTGCACCGGGCATATGGGAAAAGCACCAATGTTTTTACAGACCAATAGGCATTAGGTGGGTAATGTGGTCAGCATAAAGCCGGCAGTCTTTACTTCCCTAGGAAATACATTCTGGCCACCATTTTAGGCTAGGTATATATATATATATATATATATATATATATATATATATATATATATATATATATACACACACATGTGTATGCGTATATATCCAGTTTATTCATAGACTTAGGGCACCCAGTGAGTGATATTAGCAAATATTACACGGACATCTTTACTTCCTGTAATTTCTACTGGAAAACATTTCAAGTTGCGCAGACTTGTGAGCTAAGGTAATTTAAAATCAACCCTGACATTGATGATCAGGGTGACACCGACATCACAATAATTCAAAAAAAGAAGAGTAAGCGAGCTTTTAAAAGCCAGGTATGCCTCAGTACACGAGGCTATTCATATTTGAATAGACTATATAAAAATGGTAATGTGTTCAACATCACACTAACCGCAATTACTTTCCAAGACATTACCTGGTATTTTCATTTAGGTAGTCACAGTTAACAAATAAAAAAAAAACACCTCAAGCGGATTCGAAGCTACGAATACCATCAATATAACACACGTTGCTGACTAATGTTCCTGAGTAGGTTCTGGGGACCCATAGTGCGGAATGGGAAAAGCGTAGACCCACAGCCCTCTAGCAAGGAGAGCTTCGGAAGAGAAACATTTTAGAGTGTTTCCTTCAAAATTAGAGTGCACAAAGAACCAACAGTGTGCATACAAATAAGTCAGATCTGTAAAATGGATGTGCATGCAAAACTCAAGTTCTGAATAAAAACAAAAATCCAGATATTGACGAACAAAAAGAACTATCCGCCTGCGAAAAAGGAAAGCTATTGCGAGGAAGCAGAATATATATGAATATCATATATAACTCAGACTAGAATGACAGCGAACTGGTGCATATTAGGGAAGCAAACAAGGGAGAGAGAAGAAAGAAGAAAGAATAGAAGAGATAAAAGAACGGACGGAAAAAAAAGAGAGGAAGAAGCTAAAAAAAGAGGAGGAGGAAAAGAAGAAGATAAAAAAAAATTATTAGTAGAAGCGGTCGAAGTAGAAGTGCCTGTAGAAGCTATAAGCGTTAA